TTTCTGCCCAACCCTACAATATGCCACCATTATGAATAGTATCAATTTTAGTTCTTCAAAACCACTGAAATGGTTGTAAAAATCAGCAAAATCAGGTCTGCTGACATTCTCTGTTTTCCTTCACAAAACTCATTACAACCTGGATCCATAAAGGATTGTGGGCTTTCTTCTTCTTCTTTTGCATTAATCTCTTTGCATATTTACTTGAATCTTCTCCAGGTGTATGTATTAGTTGTGCAACTTTTTGAAATTTCCTCCATTAATGTGTATGCATGGATGCTTTCCAAAAGTACTCATTTATTCATGTGCATTTTAAAAATGTGAATATGCTGACAAGTGCATCCTTTTTGGCTCATAAATCCTATTGCAAGCTCAGAAATGTATTGCATCCAAGTCCAAGCTTAGTCATGATAAACATGACAATCCTGATAAAATTGGGCTGGAACTAGTCTCTCACAGATCCTCATCACTGCACAATGATGTGCTGAAAAACACCCTATATGAGACCCACCCTTTCTACTAAATGTGCATATATTTCCATTTACACCCAAAGATCACCCTACAATCTGATTATAGACAAGACCTATATCCTCACATAATATAGGCAAGCTCTACTATGCAGTTATATTTCTTTTAATTCTTCAGTAAGATACTTCTATCCAGTCCATAATATCCACCAAGGAAAGTGCTGAAATGGATTATCAAAGCCTGAATTCAGAGGAGATCATAAAGCAGACCCAAGTTTTAAGTTTCCTGAGGTCTCTGAATTACCCTGCCCATGTTCCATTTGATGTTTCCCTGCTACCTCTTCCATATACTTGATTGCAAATATATCCACATATTTTTCTTTTCTTTTCCAGCCCCAAATCCAAATGCAGAAGAGACAGTGAACTGTACCACTGCCTGGTACCAGTGAACATGTCCTAAGTTTCTCTGGTTCTGTTTGGTCCAGCTGGCCACTTCTGCATCCAAATACTTTGAATTTATGTTTCAGGCAAATCAAAAGAATTCCTTTCATCACCCTTGGGGCACATTTTAGGTTCTTGCTCTCACCATAGATTTGTTGCAACTTCTGCTGATATTTTTTGGACATTTCTGGTATTGTGACCAAACAAATTGACCATACAGCCTCTCATGCCAACCTTCTGACATCCCTATTCATAGTAGTTCAGGGTAGGGGAAAAAGACCTTCTGAAGGCCAGCCAGGGACAGGACAGGCCATCCCATCAGGACCCTACAAACTGAAGCTAGTACTGACTCAGCCAGACAAGCAAACAGGTTCTGGGAGAAGGTGGAAGAGACTAGTTCCAAGGCATTTCCCATTTTTACCCTGATGCTGCTGGCTCAAATAGGTTATGAGAATGGGGGGTGGGAGTACAGCATGTGATATTTGTGGGGGGAGTGGTTTAAGTATTGAAGTTCATTTGACTACCAAAACCTGTTATAAGAACCTGTGCAATCTCCAAGCATTTTTCTATAGGCCAGAACACAGGAACACTGTTGCAGGTGAGGCGTCTTCAGTAAACTATGAAGCTAAATTATATCACTTAATTGAACTGTCGTGTCTTACCCCATCAACTGATTGCTTCATTGGCATATATCTTAGAAGGTCAATGAATCTTAGATTATGTCTTTTTCAGGGGAAAAATATTCCACGTGTACTGGATTTCACAATGTCTTTTTTGACAAGGGCTTGTCCAAATCAGCAAACTACAAGACATCTAGCACAATGCCCAGTAACTGCCTTATTTTATAATACATTATAAAATATTCAGACACAGTGATTCAAACACAGTGATATTTTCAGATCCAAGTGTTCTTTGAAATTGTCTACCTGTTTCTTGCAAGTTAAAACTTAGTGAAAATGGAGGTTCTCTGGCCTTTTGAAAAATGAAAGTCTGCTGAGGAAGAATTGGAAATTGGGAAGAAGACCATTGCAATAATGCGTTCACTACATCTATGACAGATGCGTGTCTATGCTGCATTTGGGGGCTTGAACAATGCATGCCTGTATATTTTCTTAGCTAAAATGAAATTACCATACAACCCTGATCTGTATTTATTGAAAGAAATTACTAAAGCATTTCCATCCTAAAGATGGAAGCAGCACCACTGATTTTAAGTAAGATTTTATTTCAAGCAAGTCCACCATGCATGCTTCCCTGGATAAAATCAATGTTCTTTCTTCCAAGTTATGTTTAGGATAAGTCATACAGGAAGAAAATGATTTTACCTCAATTCTTAGAAATCAGCCTTGAAAATAGCTAGTCACAAATGGCATGTATGTTGGGGTGAACACTGGCTCAAATGTAATGTGCCTCATGCTTTTGGAATCCATGTCTTTCATTGGTAGTTTTGGTTATATGCACTTTATTTACTTTTCAGGGAAAATAACATTTGTTCCTCACTGAGAATTGGGAAAAAAACTGATGGGATGTAACCAATATGTTTTCATCTTCAGTGGCTTGAAGAAAGTCTATAATCCCCAAGTAGTTTTTTATCTCCACTCAAATTATTATTTCTCCTCCAAGTCCCTAAGGTCTTCCAAGAAGCTTGCTTAATTGCAGTGCCATAGAAAACTAAAGCTTTAAGTCCCAATCAACCACATTGAGGATGTTTTAACTTCTCCACTCACAGAAAGTGAATTAGAGACCATTCAGCTCAGACTTCTGCACCAAAGAATGAAGCATCATCTAAACAGAAATTTTTCAAGGAAGAAGGTAGCATTTGTGGTCTTGGTAGAAGTCCTATTGCCTCTGGTGATATGCAAGGTTCCTTTCGAAAAATGTGCTATTGCTGAGCCTCTTCCAATTCTCCATGAATATTATCAGCCAGGAGACCTCATCATTGCTGGGCTTACTTCTCTAATATACATCTTTTCCAGTTCTAGTACCTTTGCAAATCATCCTTCTCAGGAACGTATTGATGCTCTTGAGTAAGGAGTTTTTGTTTCCTTGCCTTTTAAATGCTATATCGAACATCCATTTTGGTAATAGTGTCAAGGAAGAATGGGTATATGGGCATAGTATTTAGGGTGCTGGATTAGAAATCAGGAGTTCTAGCTTCTAGTCCTTGCTTGGCCACAAATATCATTGCTGACCTTGGAATACACATATACATCCTGACAGAGATCTGTAGTTGTTGGAGAATATCATGCACATGTGCAAACTAGCAGCTTCTCAGTTAGGGTTGCTGTTGAACTGATTTTTCAGAGAAATCAAAACTTGACCTGAATGTGCCAGTGTTGCAATGCATGTCTCTGAACTAGGACTATTGATGTGTGATATGGTTATTGAAGGTATATGAGACCAAAATGTCATTCTTGAGCAATAGTACATGTCACTCTCCCTGCAGGGTATTCATACAGAACTACCAGCACATTCTGCTCTTGGAATTTGCTATAAAGGAGATCAATGGTAATTCTGACATTTTATCCAACGTTACACTGGGTTTCCATATTTATAATAACCGTTTCAGTGCTACATCAACTTACCGTGCCGCAATGGACATCCTTTCTGCACAAACCAGATTCATCCCTAATTATAAGTGTAATGCCCAAAATAACCTGACAGCAGTCATTGGAGGACCTAACTCTGATGTTGGTCTACACATGGCAGACATTCTATGCATTTACAAGATTCCACAAGTAAGTTGAATGAGTCAAGTATGAGAGTTGCTCTTTGCTCTTATCATCTAGAGAAACTCTAATGTGGCATTCTGCAGGGTAAGATTGTTCAAGACAAATCAGCAAACATTGAACAATGCTTAAAGATGCAGTTCTAATGAAGGAAAATAGTTTTGTTCATCTTAGATTCATTTGCTCACAAACAATTCAGTTATTCATCTGTACAGTCATGAATATTGAATAAAAGAGTAATTTTGCATCAGCTCAACCACTTTCATGTTAGAGGAACTTTAGTTTCAGGATCAGGTATACCCAATAACAAGCATTAAACTATTATTTTACTTTATTCAAGGCTTCCTCAGTTTTCTCTGGAATAACCATTTAATAGAAGTGTTTCCATGGGCTAATGGCAGGGTTGGCTGTTAATTTAATTAGATTTCAGTTTCATAAGAATTTACCAAAAACAAACAAATAAAACCAATCAGAAAGGTCATCAAATTTGAAAAAGAAAGAACTAGAGATTAAGGACTGGAAAACCAGAGCTGCTCAGATATTAAAATTCTCCTACCTTTAACTGAAATCTCTGCTCAGACTGCTTAAAATTCCCTCCCCTCCCCATTTTTTTTCAGTTGTGCATTTTGAGAAAATTACGTATTTCAATTTACTTTATTTTAATGGTATATTCTAATGTTTAGTTCTGTGAACTGGGCATTTTAGAAAGGTTTGTCAACTGAGAAAATATATATCTTTGACTGGAAATTAAGGAAGAAATGAATGAATGAATGAATGAATGAATATGGGAGAAAATTCCCATGACAGATTTGTTCACTCATTTCTTTGAGAGCTTTGTACTTAATAATTTGAATTTAGGCTGCTTCTTTCATTTCATCTACATTCTGGAAGACAGCATGCTCTGACAAAATCAGATTTAAAAATGCAAATGTGTCCATTGCAATTTATGTACCTCCTACCTTCCACTGGCTCAAAGCAGTCAACAAATATATAGAGCTCTGCATACAGTTAATGAACAGCATACACAGAAAAAGAGTGATACACCAGTGAAGAGAATTGTATAAAATGGCATATGCATGTGTTGGTAGACTCTGTGATAGTGCATTTACTAGGAACTTGGTACTTTTGTTCAACTAAATTTGCACAAATGATTGGAAAGTTTAAAAAGCAAAGCAAAACAAAAGCAAGTAAATTAAACCAGTAAATGAAATTTGCATTACTCAGAAGATGTCAGTCTACTGCACAATGCATGGGTTGGATTCATTGAAATCTGAAATTATCAAAAGCTGTTTTAGATTTCTCCAACATTCCTCTATAATCAGACACATTTATTAAGGTTTCGGTCACTTTTTTTCTGACAGGTTCCCAGTCCTTATCAATTATGTGGCATGGGGGGACATCACAGTCCTATCTCTATTGAGAATAACTTTTATTTTTGAATCTGAACTGGTGCCAATGGGTGAGAATTTCAGTTCACTTCTTTATCAGACTTTACCATTATTGGCTGTGTTTATCTTATTCAATATTTGAACAATAACTAGAAATTTTAAAAAAGAAGAAGAATGGGGAAGAAAGTGGAAATGAACAATTTGTCCATCCCTAACAGTGAAGTTTCTGTAAACTACAAGAATCAATATAATTTTTTCTTCTTCTTTAAAGTATCGCATATGATTAGAAGAAAGATATAGCCACTAGATTTTATTTCCAAATGAGTTTGAGATTATGTCAAACTTAAACCCATATTAGGCGAATGCACATGCACTATTTTATGCTGTAAGCTGCACAGGAAACAATTTCATTGAAGAGCTTTCTATAAAACAATAGATACAAAATAGAGAATTCACATGAGATTCCCTTGAGGCTACTGAGATCTAGGGAGCAGGCAGCAAAAGAAACAGGAAATCTAAATAATACAGAGGCCCAGAGTTCCTCTGAGCTTCTTTTTACTTGTGTCAAAATATCATGCTCCTTTTGCCAGCTGTGGCAACTGTACTGAAGACTGTTCTTCCAGCTTCTCCTGTATTAATATATATTCAAGGACTATGACTACTAAGTACCCCATCTTCAAAGAAAAGCTTGAATATACCTGATCCATAATTAAATAAAACAAACGAAGAATTGAGTCTGATGATCTATTGAGACAAGAATTGAAATCATGCAAGTGAACTGCACGAATGTTTCCATATTTATTTATTTATTTATTTATTTTTATTTTATTTCATTTAGAGACCACTTTTTTCCTAACAAGGAATTCAAGGCAGCTTAATTGATTCTCCACTCAGTCTTACCTTCACAAAAACAACCCTATGAGGTACATCAGACTGAAAGTCTGTGACTGGCAGAAAGTCACCCAGTGAGCTCCCTGACTGAGTGGGTACTAGAACCTAGAGCTCCTGAGACCCAGTCCCACATTATTCACCACTCTGCTATACTGCATAATGTAGACACACACAATTTGAATCTTTCTTCTCCTTCTCCTGTCTGTCTGTCTCTGTCTGTCTTTCTTTAGCTCACTTATGGCTCCACTCCACTAATGAGTAATGAAATGCAATATATTTTCTTCTATCGGATGTTCCCCAAAACTTCCATTCAATATATGGGGATTCTCCAGTTATTACTGCATTTCAAGTGGACATGGATTGGAATACTGTATGTGAATGATGACAATGGACAGCAGCTAATTCAGAATGTGCTTCCCATGTTTATTCATAGTGGCATCTGCTTTGACTTTGTACAAAAATGCCCCCAACATTCCTTTTCCAGCAACACTGATAAAATGGTGTCAGAAATTATTGAAATTTGCAAACTTGTTGCAAGTAGCACTGCCACAGTGTTACTAGTACATGGAGAAACTGGAACAATGATTATAATACGGCTACTGTTGAGGATTTCAGAATTTGAGAATATAGCTTGGAAGGTCAAGGGTAAAGTATGGCTTATGACAGCACAGCTGGACTTCACCTCATTTTCTTTTCAAAGGAGTTGGGATATACATTTCATCCATGGTGCTTTATCTTTTGTCAGTCACACAAAGGAATTGTTGGGATTCCAGGAATTTCTTCAAATGAGAAACCATACATCTAACAAGAACGATGGTTTCATCAGGGATTTCTGGGAAAATGCATTTAGCTGTACCTTCCCCAATTCAATAGTTGACAGGAAGGCTGGTAAAATGTGTTCTGGGGAGGAGAAGCTGGAAAAACTTCCTGGATCTGTTTTTGAAATGCGAATCTCTGGCCATAGCTACAACATCTACAATGCTGTCTATTCTCTTGCACATGCATTGCATGTTATACATTCATCCACATTCAAACCCAGAGCAATGGTAGATAGAGAGAGATGGAATCAAAAGCCATGGCAGGTAAGAAACTGAGCAGAAACAAATGCAGGAGGATTCAGTATGATTTTGGTTGCAAAGAAGATACTTAGAAGGAGTATCTAGGCTATGTATCAGTTTTGAATAATAAATTTATTGGAGCTCCTGATTAATTCAAATCCAAACTAAAATGACTAATTTGGCCATGTGTGTATGTATACTCACTAGGACTATGCTGGTGGAAAAATTATAGGGTATAAGCATGTGGGCAAAAATGTACACATCTCTTTAATCTTATTCTTTATTCTCCTTTTTTCACTTATATGATTTATTAATGTTGTCAAACGGAATTGTGTGATTTTAGTATCTCAGGTGCATATTCTGTACATCAATGTGCACGTAAGTAGTCCTTCAAGTTGGCCTTGTTATTTTACAACATTGTCACAAAGTAATATATCCAAAACTTAGGCAAATTGTACTTTCTACAATCCATCCAGCCATCCATCCATCCATTCATTTTTTAATGAAAAACAAAATCAGTCTGGAAGCTCCATAGGCATAGCTGCATGAGCTGACCTGCAATGGCTACCTATTCACAACAAGGCCAAGTTTAAGACTTTGGTAGTAGTTTAGAAAGCATTAACCAATTTTGAATCAGTACACCCACATTATTTCCTGTCATGAAAAGTAGATTACATTTCTCAGTTCCCTAAGCAACAGTGTCCTCTACAACAGCTTTCATGGAGCAGACCAGGGTTTTAATTCTAAGCGGTGCCACCCAGGACCTTGAACAAGATATGAGTGTTGCCAGATCAGTTTTAAACAGATTTAAAGATTCCCTTATAGGATATCAGCAGAGAACTAAAGAGGAGATTGCAAAGAATTGCAATAAATTATTTCTGTCTGTCTTCACTGCAGATGTAGGCCAGATACCTGTGCCTTAAGTGACATTTTCCAGAAAGAAGCCCAAGAAATTGAGGCAAATGCTGGAAAAGATTAAATGTTCTTGATCTCATTAACAGATTGGAAGCTAATCTATCAGTGGTCCTATCTTAGAATGGTATTTATCTCTGAGTGAATTTGGAATGTAAAATTGCTTTTTTTCCAATGTAATTTATTCATTCATTTATTTGATTTCTATTGTGCCTTTTTTAAAAATTAGAACTCTAATCAGCTGACATAATTCTCCTCCTCTTGCTCTCAATCTTGTCTTCACAACAACAATTCTGTGAGGTAGGTTAGGGTGAAATTCTGTGACTGGGCCAAAATCTCCCAGTTGGCTCCATGGCTGAGCAGGGACTGGAACCCAGCGTCCCATTTTCATGCTCTTAACCACTACACCACGCTGGCTCTCATATATAACATGTTACTAAAAAACAATCTCTGTATTAGAGGGCTAGTGAATAGACACTAAAGCACCATTTTTTAAAAAGAGAGCCAAAGAGATCTGGAATGTTTTGTCAGCTTCAGAGGACCATTTTTTTCTTTGCTAAAAATGTATAAATAGCTTATATTTTGCTGGAGCCCAGCACAGGGTGCACCTTCTCCCTTACCTGACCCACCTCAAAACTTCCATGAACCATCCGCAACCAAATCTCTCCTACACTGCTAGGAGCAACACCAGTATGTTGGACCATTTCCTCAGTACAACCTACTTCCCCCACTTTACCTATTTCTACTTCCAATGACACCTGACTCTGTTAACATGCGGCCATGGTAATGGTCCAACAACAAGCAGGAGCAATACAAATAGCATAGGTACCACTTCTAGCAATTATGAGTCATTACACTGGCACCGCCATTGGGGTGGTCTTGGGCAATGGACGTTATGGTTTTGGGGGTCTAACGGGTCTGCATAGAAGAAGGCGGGACAGATGGTTGACACCTGGCCCCCCTTCTGGTTACTCCCCCAGCCGGAGGGTTCTGGGTAGGCTTGTCAACTGCCCCTCAGGCCTGACGGTGCTGCTGCTCAATGCCAGGCCGGTCCATAATAAGTCATCCCTCATCCATGACTTGATTGTGGATGAGGGGGCCGACCTGGCCTGCATAACAGAGACCTGGGCAGGAGAAGAGGGGGATGTGTCCCTCTCTCAACTGTGCCCACCCGGGTATCTTGTCCAGCACTGACCATGCCTTGAGGGGAGGGGGGGTTGCTTTGGTTTTCCGAGCTTCCATCTCCCTCATGGGGTTTCCTGTTCTCTCGAGGTCAGGTCTAGAGAGCCTCTACTTGGTGTTGGGCAACTGAGACCGATTGGGAATTCTGTTGGTGTACCGTGCACCCTTCTGCCCAACAGTCTCCCTGCCTGAGCTGACAGAGATCATCTCAGTCCTGGTGTTGAGGACCCCCAGGATGTTGGTCCTGGGGGACTTCAATCTCCACGCTGAGACTGGTCTGACTGGGGCAGCTCAGGACTTCATGGCCTCCATGACGGCCATGGGGCAATCTCAACATGTCACTGGCCTGACCCATGAACGTGGACACACTCTGGACCTGGTTTTCTCAACAGGGCAGGAAGTGGGTGATTTGAGGGTGAGGAATTTATGTCTGACTCCCCTGTCAGGGTCAGACCACTTCCTCATGAGGTTTGAGCTCGAGAGCAGCCTTTCCCTCTGTAAGGGTGCGGACCCGATTGTGCTGGTCTGCCCCAAGAGCCAGATGGATCCGGATGGTTTCCTGAAGGCCCTGGGGGAATTTCCAGTTGACAAGGCTGGTGCTCCTGTTGAAGCTCTGGTCGAACTGTGGAATGGGGAAATGACCAGGGCTATTGACACGATCGCTCCTAAGCGTCCTCTCCTGCTGGGCAGAGCCCATTCATCCCCTTGGAACACATCTGAATTATGGGCGATGAAGCGGGTTGGGAGACAGCTAGAGCATAGGTGGAGGAAATCACAGGTTGAATCTGACCGAACACATTTAAGAGCCCATTATCGGGCCTATGCTGTGGTGGTGATGGTGGTGAAAAAGAAAATTTTCTCCATGTCCATTGTCTCCTCACAATGCCGGAGCTCCACAATCCGGTGGAGCTTTTTTGGGTGGTACAAGGTCTGGTTCACCCAGGCCCTAAGAAAGACCTGGTACCACCCACGATGGCCCACTGTGACGACTCTGCCAAGCATTTTAAGGAGAAAATCACTCAGATTCATCACGAACTGGACTCCACTAGTGACTCAAAGCATTCAGGGGAGGAGCCAATGTTGCCATCTGGTCCACAATTGATGGATGAATTTCAGTTATTGCAGCCTGATGATGTGGACAAGGTGCTTGGACAAGTACGTTCCACCACCTGCTTACTGGATCCTTACCCATCTTGGCTACTCAAGAAAGCCAAGGACAGGATAGGGACCTGGATCCTGGATTTTGTCAACGCCTCTCTGAGGGATGGCCGGGTACCTGCCCCTTTAAAGGAGGTGGTAGTCTGACCTGTCCTAAAGAAGGCTTCCCTGCATCCAGAGATAGCCACCAATTATAGACCAGTGGCCAACATCCCATTTCTGGGCAAAGTGTTGGAGTGGGTGGTGGAGGGACAACTCCAAGCACTCTTGGATGAAACTGACTATCTGGACCCATTTCAGTCCAGCTGCAGACTCAGGTATGGTACTGAATCTGCCTTGGTCGCCCTGTACGATGACCTGTGCAGGGAGAAAGACAGGGGGAGTGCATCCCTGTTGGTTCTCCTGGACCTCTCAGCGGCTTTCAATACCATCGACCATGGTATCCTTCTGGAAGGCTAGTGGGATTGGGGGTGGGGACACTGCTCTGCAGTGGTTCTACTCCTATCTTAATGGCCAACTCCAGAAGGTGGTGCTGAGGGACTATGGCTCTGTGCCATAGCAGCTATGCCATGGAGTTCCGCAGGGGTCCATGTTGTCCCTCATGCTATTTAACAGCTGCATGAAACCACTGGGAGAGGTCATCAGGAGGTGTGGGCTGCAGAATCAGCAGTACGCTGATGATACCCAGCTCTACCTCTTGTTTTCTACCAATACAGGTGAGGCAGTGGCTGTACTGAACCGGTGCCTGGCCAAGGTAATGGGCTGGTGAGGGCCAATAAACTGAAGCTCAATCCAGACAAGACGAAGGTCCTGTTGGTAGGTGGATCAGGCTTTGGGATGGGAGACTTTGACCTTGTCCTGAATGGGGTTGCACTCCCTCTTAAGGACAGGGTCCACAGCTTGGGAGTGCTCCTCAACCCAGAGCTATCATTGGAAGCTCAAGTGACAGCGGTGACGAGGAGCGCTTTCCTTCAACTTCGGCTGATCCATCAGCTGCGTCCCTACCTGGAGAACGACTGCCTGGCAACAGTGACACATCCATTGGTCACTTCCCAATTAGACTTCTGTAATGTGCTCTACGTGGGGCTGCCCTTGAAGATGGTTCAGATACTTCAATTGGTGCAAAATAGAGCTGACAGGCTGCTGATGGGGACTGGGCATTGTTCTCATATAACCCCAGTCCTCCATCAGCTCCACTGGCTCCCCATTGAAGTCCGGGCCCAATTCAAGGTGCTGGTTATCACTTACAAAGCCCTGAAAGGCTTAGATCCTGGTTACCTAAAGGAGTGCCTGTGTCCATATATGCCCTCCCACCCCTTGAGATCGGCGGCAGAGGCCCTACTCCAGGAACACTCCGTGAAGGATATTAGGAGGGTGAGTACTCGGAGGAGGGCTTTCTCTGAGGTTGCGCCCAGCCTATGGAATGCGCTCCCCAGAGAGGTCCACCTGGCACCGTCGTTATTTGTTTTTCGGCGCCAGGCTAAGACCTTTTTATTTATATGCTATTTTAATTGTTAAGGTTTATTTTAAACTGACCAGGCTGTTTCCACTATTTTATTGTATTTTATCTTATGTATTTTATTTATTCTATGTATTTTTTGTATTTATATGCAAGATTTTAATTATTGTAAGCTGCCCCAAAGCTTATAAGCTGTCTAAATAAATAAAATACCACAGTCATGACAATTATCAATTGTATCATAAGCCTCTGTTATGCATTTAATGGAAATATTCAACATGGCAAGCTAACTAACCATTGTTTCATTCTTTTATTTTTTTCATCCTAGTTAATTACTCTTTTTTTCTCCTATTTAGCTCCACCACTTCCTGAGACAAGTCTCATTTAACAATAGTGCAGGAGAAACTGTGTATTTTGATGAAAATGGAGAGTTAGTAGCTGGATTTGACATTATAAACTGGATCACCTTTCCAAACCAGTCCTTTCTTAGAGTAAAAGTTGGACAGGTTGACCCAAAAGTTTCCAAAGATAAAATGTTCTCCATAGTTGACGATGCCATTGAATGGGCCAGCATGCTTAACCAGGTAGGTATCACTGCTGGGAAAAGGAAATGACCCTGAATTCTACCTTAACATTATCTTTTTTTCTCAAGTCACAATTTGATTTGAAAGCTCTCTTTCACCCAGCAAACATTTGAAGAAATAACAATTTATGCTGCTTTGACAAACATATTCATCAAGAGGCTTTTTAAATTTTTATTATAGTTTTAAAAAAAGCATTCAAAACTATTTTAGCCACAAAAAGCCTTGGCAGTAAGGGAAAGAAATGCAAAACAAAACCTATGATGATGAACAAGTTATACATAGTCAATTAATATTAACAGTTTGCATAAAAGGGCTGTCAGTTATAACAAGTCACATTTTTCTGTATGGTCCACCATATTCAGAGTGTAGTCCCATTTGCCAGAGACCTTGATCACATAGACAAACTCTTCAGTACCAACCACCTGTCCTCTCTAGAAGCTATGCCATGAATTCATGGGTCTGTTAAACTAACTGTACCTGATGTATGACATAAAATCCCTGCAAAACAGTAATGCTTTCCTTTTCATTTATGATCAGTCAAGGCCCCTTTCTCTGTGTAATGACCACTGCTGTTTAGGTTATAGAAAGGCACAGAAAGAAGGGAAGTCATTTTGCTGCTATGATTGTCTTCCATGTCCAGCAGGGAAAATTTCAAACCAAACAGGTAAGAAATACAGTTTATAGAGTTGATAATTTCAAATATATTTGCTATGATCCAGCAAGTGCAAAGGGGAAGAATTTCCCTTTTTTCCTTTCAGTTGATTGCAATTCCATGGTGGATGTTACTGTTATTTAGTCAAATATAACTCTGTTATAGCCACAAATGTGTATTCAGTCATAATTAAAATTATTGGTTTAAGACCAGAGTTAAGATGGCCTCATGATATGCCTGGTGATCAATAACAATGTTGTACTCTTTCACAAATTGTGCTTAATCATAACTTGCCCTCTACAAAGCCACACATCCAGATGGAGATTTGCAGATTTCTCCAACAACCTTCTCCAACAACTTTCCCCTTTGCTGCCCCTTTCCAGTTACTGTTGTTTTCCATAATATTAAACCTAGACCGTTATTGATAGAACTAAAACTCATGTATGCATTCAGCCACTTCACATTTCTGACTCATATTCAGCTTGTGATTGATTACACCTCCAGGATCCTTTGGACACATACTATTACCAAACCAGATATTCCATATCATATATCTCTTCATTTATTTTCATTCTTTTAATTGAAGAGCATTGCACAACTCTGTTAATTGTTATTTTCTGCCCAGACATCTAACTTACGATGGATATTTTGAATGCTGTTTCTGACTTTTAGGGTTTAACTATTCCACCCAGTTCTGGGCCATCTGCAAATTTAATATACATTCCTCGAACCTCTTCATTCAAGTCATTAATAAAAAAAAGTCAGAGTGTACAGGTCTATGACCAAACTCTGGAGCACCGTATTTAATGCCTTCCTCTGGTTTGATGAAGGACCATTGACAACAATTCATCGGCTGTGGTTGTCAAGCCAGCAACAGAGCAATCTAGTGGTAAAATCACATAAGCCATGACTAAAAGAAATGCCAATCAGGATATTATGGGGTAATATGTCAAATGCTTCCTGAAATGATAATTGTATGATACAATTTGAAGTAGCCTTACAGATTGTGATCTAGCAGCTCTCATTCATGCAGTTATACTTCTGAACTGCAATATCTTTAATGCATAGAAACCAACATTTTATCTTTTAGATATGGATGATTGTTTCCATTGTCCGGAGGATCACTATTCTAACAACAACCATGATGCATGCATTTTGAAAAATATAAGTTTCCTGTCTTATGAAGAACCCCTAGGAGTCACTTTGGGCTTTCTAATTCTTTTCTTTTCCATAATCACAGTTTTGGTGCTCTGGATATTCATCAAGCACCAGGACACTCCCATAGTCAAAGCCAACAATGAAAAACTTACCTACATTCTTCTCATCTCCCTCCTGCTCTGCTTTATTTGTGCATTGCTGTTCATTGGACGACCAAACAAAGTGATGTGTCTTTTACAACAAGCTGCTTTTACTGTCATTTTCTCAGTGGCTGTTTCATGTGTGTTGGCCAAAACTCTCATTGTGGTTCTAGCATTTATAGCCATCCAACCAGGATCCAGAATAAGGAAATGGGTGGGGAAACCAATGGCCAGCACTACTCTTGTTTCCTGCTCCCTCTTTCAAGCCACAATTTGTACCGCATGGCTTTCAACATCTCCTCCATTCCCAGATATTGACACAAGTTCAATGTCTGAAGAAATTGTACTGGAATGTAATGAAGGGTCAGCAGCTATGTTTTACTGTGCACTAGGATTCCTGGGTTTCCTGTCCAGTGTAAGCTTAATTGTGGCATTCCTAGCCAGGAAGCTACCTGACAGTTTCAATGAAGCCAAGTTCATTACTTTCAGCATGATAGTGTTTTGCAGTGTTTGGGTGTCCTTTGTTCCATCTTACCTGAGCACTAAGGGCAAATACACTGTTGCTGTGGAGATCTTCTCTATCATAGCTTCCAGTGCAGGATTGCTGTTTTTCATTTTTACTCCCAAGTGCTATATTATTTTGCTGAAGCCTGAGCTGAACAACAAGGAGGAGCTTATAAGAAGAAATCATCATTTATAGTTTCCGATCCTGATAGTTTCTGATGCACCCTAACAATGCCTCAGTCTCACACAATGATATCCTGAGTGAGAACATTGAAAGAAGCAGTTTACTTGAGTTGTAGGGCAGACCAGGGAAGAGGAAAACTGTTGTGCAAGGCCTCTACCTATCTAAACCCACTTGCTTCCCTCTTATGCAGGATAAATATCCCTGACCTTTCCTTGGTCAATGAACAGATTGCTGCCTCAGAACATGCATTGTCAGTAATCTGTAAAACCTCAGGGCAGCCTACCACCTATCTCAGGTCAAAAGACGATGCAGTGGAGGCACTCCTGGCTAGTCCAACCAGCCTGGATCTATTTCTGGTCATTTCAAGGGCTGCCTCAGTACTGCTGAGACCAGTGCTGATGTAGCAATGGGATCACTTGACTGTTCAAGTCCACTTCTACATTTACTTGCCCAGTCACCTTAAGCATAGTAGAACAGTGAAGGGGCTGCCTGAAAAGGCCCAGTTGATTGGTGAATAGAAGAAGCTTTGCTCAAGGCCTCCTATCACAGGATAATAGAGCAAAGCATTCCAGCAATCATGTAGCCTGAAAAGGGAGATGCTTTTTACCAACCTGAATGGATTGACACCTCAGTGCTTCTATTAGCAGTAATTTATGAGATGACAGGTGGGTGGATGGTCAGGAAAGGGAGGAGGCTTACAGCTGTTCACAGAGAAAAAGAGGTGGCAGTGGAGCACCTGACATTCATTGGTCAATGAAGGGCTGCAGGGAAGAGTAAGGGCACAGGCCTGGCTAGTTAATATTGGGCAAGATCATCAGTAGCCATGGAAATGTCAGAAGGGATTCCTTGACTTTATGGAGGTGGCCTTAGCTGGCTGCTGCTGTTCTTTGAAAACTGACAATGTAGATTTTTATTGTATTTTGGAGAGATCATTGGAGAAGGTAATAAAAAAAATTAAAAAAAAAGTAGAGAAGATCTGAATGATAAACTGGTTTCAGTTTCATTATTGTTTTGAAAATGTATAATAAATTAAATTCACAATAGTCTATGGAGCAAATTCTTGTCTCCCTCATTCTTTGAAATCAGGTTTCAGAACTGATGCCTTCCAGATTGCAACAGGATTTGTTGGTTCACTGAGAAAGATAACATTTCTGCCAGAGTGTGTGTGTGCGTGTGTGTTCCTCTTCAGTGAAACAGACTGTAACTGATTATTTTTCCTCTAATTGTGAAACAGACCAGTATCTATTATCCAAGTCCCCAAGGAGTTCCGGGGACAATAAGGAACCATAAGAAGCTAACGCTGAAGACAATCAAGTCTCCATAAAACCTGCATGTGCGGACTTCACTTCTTATAGCCACCCTTCAGATCACTTGACTGTATGACAATTCAGCTCAGGCTGTAATACTCAAGGGATTAAGCATGTACTTAGAGATAAACTGACACCTAGAAGAAGACATTCTGTGTGAGATGGTAGCACTTATGCTCTTGGTATTGGTGCTGCTACTTCAGATAGTGCACGTGTTTCCAAGTGGAAAATGTACCATCAGTAAACCTTTGCCTTTTCTTCACAAATATTACCAGTCAGGAGACCTCATCATTGCTGGCGTTACTTCTCAAATCTACCACTTTTCCAGTCCCATTACCTTTGCAAATGATCCTTCTAGTGAGCATACTGAGGACCTTGTGTAAGGAAATTGGTGTGTTGCTCTGAGTGTGTGTGTGTTTTCAGTTAATCAGCTGAGGCATATACCAGATATTATATTGCAACCAGATAAGATAATACAGGATAAATGTAGAGAGATCCTTTTAAATATTTTTCTTCCACAAGATAATAAAAGTGTTATTTAAAAGATAGGAAATCCTATTGTAAGAAAAAGGTTAAAATTTGGAATAAATATAGGACTTTGTTTATCCCAATGATCTCAATGTTATACACAATTATGGAATAAGAAAGATTCTCAGAAAATCTGAGGAGGAATTTGAAGGAAGTATTGAAGAGTAAACATGTCATTAGGTTGAAAGATTGGGTAGAGAAAATGAAGAGTAAAGAAATAATATAAGCAACAAGGGGACGGGGTAAAATAAAGTGGTACTGTATATTTCAATTGGATTATTGAACTAAGATTTGATTGAAGAAAAATGGTAAATGCAGAGAAAATACTACATTTGAAGATATAATTTTACAGAAAGAAAAAGAAGACAATATGTGGATGAAAGGAATGACAAGAAGAGGAGAATCACTATGATCCTCTTAAAGGGTCTTGGGAAACAAATTTAATAAGAAATATTAGCACTGAAGAATGGAATGATATGTGGGATAAGAGAATTTTTAGAATTTATATCAATAAGAATTAAAGAGAATTTTTATAAACTGGTTTAGAAATGGTCCTTAACTCCAGGAAAACTGAATTACATGAACAATGAATATTCCAGTGTGTGTTGGAGATGCAACCAAGAAGTGGGTGCATATTTCCATATGTGGTAGAAGTGTAAATGTATAAATGAGTTTTGGGAAAGGATTTTTAAAGAAAATGGTAAAATATTGAATTTAAATATTGAAGTTGACCCTGGATTAGCACAATTGGCATTATTTAGAGAACAGACGGGACAAAATACTAGAGAATTGATGATAAATTTATTAACAGCAGTAAGATAAATAGCGAGGAATTGGAAAACCACAGGTGAATATCATATAGTTGACTGGTATAATGAAGTCTGGAAGATAGTTATTAATGATAATGAAAAATGGTTTAACAAGTGAAAATAAATTTGAAAATATTTGGAAACCTTTATTGAATAAATTTTAATAAAAGCAAAGAGGTGTGACCCACCACATGAGTCAATATAGTTCTGGAAGGGAAGTGGGGCAACCTGAATGAATGAATGATCTTACATTAAACAATTAGAGTTGCTGGTCCTAATGGGGGTAGCACTGATGTTGATGTGTTGTTTGATCAGGAATGTTTAGTTATAATTGTTGTTATTCTGTTAATTGAATTATTTAATTAATTAATTAAGAACTATATAAGACATGTGTCCAGAAACAAATCTCAAGGAGATTGCTCATAAAGGTCACTTTCTTTTCTCTGGAAGAATGGCTGACACTTAGGGATGAGCTTAAGTGCTTTTTCCTCAAATCCTGTCAGATTCATGAATGGTAACTGTGACACTAATTTGGGTTGATATAAAATGATTTGGATAGGAGATGGGGAAGTTCATGAAGCTTGTGAAAGGGGAATTCCTACATTTTTTGTTTGTTCCCATAAAATTATGAGAAGGAATCCTTCTGGACAGTACTCCAGAGATCTGGTGGGGCTTACCCAAAGTCAGCAGTGAAGCTGCTGAAACAAACAAAAAAGAAGAGTGAAGGTAAGAAGACAATATCGGACTTCCCTACCCCCGAAATTGTATGACATATTGCTTTTCTCTTGATTCAAATTCTGAAAAGGGGAGAGAGAGAGAATGAGAGAGAGAAGATATGACCAGCATTAGAGACACTACAATTTTCCCTTTGTTTACAAAAACAAAATGCTCTCCTCCCTTAGTCAAGCATTAATAGATATAGGGTGATTTCTTCGACATTCTTTAATTGATAAGCTTCAAGTCAATACTGGCAAAAGAGATAAGGTCTGGATCTAGTTGCCTATGATGTACACATGTGCAAATGAATAGCTGCTTCATTGGGGTCACTGTTGAACTGAGTCTCTGTGAAACGAAAAGTACAACTGAATGCATTAATTTTACTTTGCATTTCCCTACACTGGGCCTTTCAAATGCAATATGTTCAATCAACAGGATTGAAATACAGGAAATGTCATTTTGAAGCAAATGCATGATATCATCATATTTCCCTCTCCTTTCAGGGTATTGGTTCAAAACTATCAGCACATTCTGCTCCTGGAATTTGCTGTATGGGAGATCAACAACAATCCATACATCTTATGCAACATCACCCTGGGCTTTCATATATATAATAATTATTTCAGGACATCCTGGACCTATCATGCCTCAATACATCTTCTTTCCACCCCAAGCAGATTAATCCCTAACTATAAATGTGATTCCCGGACCAATCTGGTAGCTGTTATTGGGGGACCAGAGTCTGATATCAGCCACTCTCTGGCAAACATTCTGTGCATGTACAAAATCCCACAGGTAAGTTGGGTGCATATAGAATGGGAGCTGAAAATGTAATTTATATTCTTCTGGTCATTCTTGGGGTATTTTGTATAGACAGATTCTGGCATGGTTGAGACCTGAATGCTGCTTAAAGGTCAAATTCTGATGCAGGAAAGTGATTGTTATAATTTATGCTGCAACACTATATGCTCTCATAAAGAAGTCAATAGACCTTACATTTAAGTGAATGTCCATAGGATTGCTCCATTAGATAGGCAGACAAAATAAAGCACTACAGTTCATTTATTCATCAGTGTAACTACTCACATGCAAACAAGAAATTGTATTTTATATAAAGAGGAAGTTTGGTTTCTGGATCAGGTATACCTTAAGCAAAACCAAATATTAAAGTGTGTCCCCCTCCCTCAGCTTAGGCCTGAGATAAGCTGGATCAGGGATTTCTCTGGAATGATGATGGTGATGATGAGTTAAGTATTCATTTTACCTACATGTCACCAATAGCAAAAGCTCTCTGACATAACAGTAGCTTCTTTCAGCAGCTAACACTTCTAGGAAGACATTATTCTTCATGACTTTTTATTATTACATTGCATTTATATCCTGCCCTTTTTTCCTCTTAGGTATCATAAATAAGTATCATTTCTGTCTTACAGTAAAATAAGCTAGCAAAATAAGATATGAAATAAGAATGTATGTCAGAATAGAGAAACATCACTAAATGAATTGTTAGGGGTTTCTTTTTTCCTTTGGGTTTAGAATTATTGCTGTGCTATATAATTGTTATTTGTTTTGTTTCCTCTTCCTGTTGGAAATCACTGTAGTTAATCAGTTTGTAGTGCAAGCTGATCAGAAAACAATGCTATTTGGTGAG